TCATCCCTTAGTCAGTAACTGTCTGCAGTAATGCAATATCCCCAGCCACACAAAAGAGCACTGTCCAACCAGAAAGAGAGAGAGTGGATGGAGAGAGATGTACATTGTTTTTAAAAAGAGGAGATGAAAGTTCATGAGTGGGAGCACAGATACACATTCCTCCATAAATCCATTACTGAGCACAACCCTACACCACTGACCCCAAACGTACCAGGATACACACACATCTCCTAAAGACGCATGCCCTGTTCGGGTTACAGCTGAATGTCAGGCCACTGTGTCCTGTGACCAGGAATTGCAAGTTACAGGAGGTGAAGAAGACTGGAAGAGAAATAAAGAGTGTTTTTACAGGGGAAAGAGAGAGGGATGTGGTTAAACTTCCTCAGCATTGTTCAATGTGAGGTTTTTTTTATCGGAAGAGAAGGACTGTGTGGTTTGGGAGATGAGAATTGTGCTGTTTAGGCTTGTGGTTGGGGGAAAGTAAGCAGTGGGAATATGTGTGATTAGGAAGAGCTTAATCAACATATTGCAGAAGGTCACTGGTGCTTTGGCATGAGAGGTGCTAATGTTGATTATGGCTGGCTCTATGGATTTATTATGGCTGGTTTGATCAGTTGGTGGGTATTTGGGCATAATAGCTGGACAATTTTAATAGATTTAATGGGTTGGCTTTGGCGTTTGAAATGGAAGTATGACTAGAAGAGTTTGGTTAACTTCATGCACTGTATATAGAGATATTCTATGAAACGGGTACCTATTTAGAATATGTTATTTATGATTATTGTAGCATCTCAAGCTGAATATAAATTTTGTATTTTCTTCGTAATTGCTCCGACTTCAGTAGCAAGAGGCCAAAATTCCCCTTGCTCAAAATGGGCCCAGACTCCAACTGTCAAACGTTTTAAATGTAAAAAGTCACTTTACACCTATAACATGTTAGTAACATACTAAAGCATGCTATCAACACTTTACTAGCTACATGCTAACAATGCCTAGCAAGATTCTAAAACATGCTAGCAAGTAACATGTAAAAACATAAATGGCCTTAAAACAAAACTCAACTTTATCATCTAGTTTATTTTAATATATTGTGAGATATAATTATACAGCAGTATATTTAAAGTTTAAAGTCACAACACAATTAAATCAAATTTGAAGTTTTTAGCTTTTAGTATTAATATGTTACTGTTATCTATGTGCTCCAAAACAATGACTAAATTCGCATTTTGAAGATATAAGCATTCAAAACTTACAGTCTCTCACTTCCGCCAATATGGATCAATGATTTTGATGACATCATGCTTCTCATCAGATTGTCTGTCCAATCAAATGCTCTCTAGAATCTACAGTGTACCTCCCCCTAATAGACGCTGAAGCTGAGGCTAAAATTGGTCACTTGTTCACACGTCTACCATTTGGTAAATGGCACGTAGTGCACTATACGCTATACACTTTAACTTTTGTTATACACTAGTTCACCTTTGAAAGAATAGTATTGGAAAAGTTAATTTCTTTATAAAGAGAAAAATATGATGCTAACATGGTTGACACATAACCTGGGGAAACAGCTCCCTGTCTTATTATTACACATTATGTCAACTAAAATCTAAATTATGTTGACAGAAAATAAAGATCAAATGCCATCCTGCATAAATGTTGTTGCATTCATATATATATATGTATATTTTAATAATAGTACAACCTATTTAACAAACAGTACTTCTGTTGCTCATAGGTCTGTCAAATAAAACATAAGGTCTACCCTGATAAGGAATAGTCAGCTAACAAAAATCAACAATAAAAGACGTACAAGAGCGTACAAGAGTTTATTTCCTTTCCATGTGTTATGCATTAGCTTTCAGATCTGTCTGTCTGAGCTGACTGAACTTTTATGAATTACTCACTGAATGTGTTCACACAGAGACACAAATATTCTTGTCTTTTTGATAAAATGACAGGCTTGAATAGGATTATAGAAGATATATGAAACGTTTTAAAACACCCTTCATTGAATAATCTACTTGCTGTGGAGCAGCCGCCCCCATTCAGCTGTTGGAGGATTACAGTTCTCCCAATCACTTCACATTAGACACACTGTGTCAGGAAAGAAATGCTCTTCAAAACAGTAGTATTTGACTTGTATAGCCAGCAACAGGAAACATCACGAATAAGAGCACAACTGTTGCACTTTTAAACCAATAAGGGTACAAATCAAGTTATCTTTAGAAAAAAAAAATACAAATATTAGATAAACTGTAACATATAATAAAATTATCATAGCATGAAAATTAAATGGTTTTAAGCAAATCAAAATCTGTTATCTGTAACTTTTCAACCCTGTTGCCAAATTTATTTTTGGAAACATTTAAAACCCTTTTTTCCCTATGATTTATAAGAAGTATTTTATAAATTAAAGTCTTTCAATAACTATTAAATAGCATTTGTTGCCACATTATTTTGTACTGATTAATAACAAAATTTAGGCTCAACATGTGACCCTGTTACTTGCAACCCTGTGAATTAAAAATATTTTATTTAATTGTATTTTTAATTGTCTATTTATAAAAATTACACAATCATGCAAATATTGGTTTTAAACCATATTCAGCTGATCACAAAAAACGCCTAAGATGTCATAGAACATTTAGTTTCACTTCCTGACACCATTTTCTAATGGGTTAAGCACTTCCTTTCACTGACATGTTGTTGGAAAACAACAAAATCTTGTCTTATTTTCTTACTTTATTGAAAAGTGGCAGTATATAGAAAATATAGACAAGAAGGTTAACATATAGAAAGTAAATTATAATAAAAATGCAATTAAGAGAAGGAGAGAGGAAGTAAGGATCTAGCACCTGTTGGCGAGGGCCCCTCGCTAAGCTTTGCATGGGAACGTTAACGTCACCGTCACCTTTTTAGGTCTGGGAATGAGGACACACACACACACACACACACACACTCCCACACACTCAGCAATGCAGCGGGCTGTTTTCAATTGACAAGTTTCTAGAGTTGATCACGAGTGCTGAGAGTAATCCCGACTCCATTAAAGTAAACTGCTAAAGCGTCTTTCACTCATGTGAAAGGCTGTGGAATCTGGCCAACAGCTGTTCTCTACAGACAGACTCTCAAATTCAGTGTCTATAGGGTCATTGTATTGGAGAGCATGGCAGAACTTGGAGAAGAGAATAGGAAAGACTTGCCTGGGGAAGGTAAGGGCTGCGTGACACTAATGTAGACGTGATAAAGCAAGGTTGCAATAACAGGGTTGAATGTTGGCTGAATGAAACAGGATTTCTTGATTTTCTTGTTGACTTACTTTGAGATTGTGTGTACAAGTGTGTGTGTGTGTGTGTAGCTTAACAGTTATAAATAGACTTGATAGATTGCTGTCCTGTGACACTAGGGGTACGGGGGAGGAGGATGGGCTTCAGGACTTATCAGCCTTACACTCTTACATTTAATATTCAGTAATATTATTGATTTGACTGCATTGACACTATTGAATGAGAACAAAACTTGAACTGGATTGAGCTGGATGATGACACCACCTTTTTCTGCAGAGCTGCTTTATAGTTCATTTGACTTTGTTTCATAATTGACTCATTTTGCCAAATCAACGCTGTTATTGAACTGAACTGAATCAACATTGAAGTGATTTGAAGTGAATAGCGACACTATTGTCTTCTGAGAGCAGCTTATCTGAACTGAACTAATTTGATTTTTTATTAACTTTACACCGTTATTGAACTGAATCAAATCTGACTTCAGGTGAATAATGACACTATTGTCTTTTTTTAGAGCTGCTTTAAGCAGAATTGAATTCTGTTTGCACCATCGATCATTATTTTCCCGATTATCAACTTGAAGCTGCTTTGAAACAATCTCTATTGTATATAGCGGTATATAAACAAAGCTGAGTTGACTTGACAATTATATATATTTATTCAACTTTTGATGGGCTTTTTTAGACAACAGAACCTATTTCAAGGTTTGCGTTCTCGAGCCCCCAAACACTGTTGTTGTGCGAATGAGCGGGCCGGAGCGCATTAAGGGTTTTCTGTTAGAACGGTGTCGTGTAAGTTAATATCTAATGATCTTTGCAACGGAAGTGAATAGCTGGACAATAACTTTATTCTAGAGCTGCTGTAAAGCCAAAACAATCTCTGTTACTTTAATGTCCTATCACTGTAAAGCTGCTTTAAAACAATCTATTTTGTTAAAAGCGCTATATAAATGATGGTGACTTGACTTGACAACAGGAGTACTTTGGAGATTGAAAGTTAGCCTATGTTTCTCACCTGTAGAGATAACAATTAATCTCTTGGGGCTATATCTCAAAATCAGTGTAAGTACTCATTATTAAGAAAAAATTGCCCATGTTAGGTACAAACATCTGTGTGCCAGTTTCACAAAAGAAGGCAATACATCAGAGAGACAGGTCATTCCCAACAGTAGCTTTGCTGACACAGTCTTTTCTCCTCTGCACTTCTGCAATTCTTTTAGCGGCCATTACTCTGTAAAAACGCTAAACACGACTGAATGTGTTTGTGTTACTTTAGCATTCAATTTTATTCACCTCTAAGAAAGTGTTCTATAAACAGTACATTTAACTGTTTCAAATGATATTTGAAAATGTGCGTGACTTGTGGGTGTGTGTCACATTTGATATGAGTAAACAATCAGTGCTAGCATGCTGTGCAGTTAGCTTTGTTAGAACATGTTTGCTTCTTTCAGTTTTTGGAAACTTTAGCTTGGGGATGATCAACCTGACAGCTTTATTTAATAAACCACACTGTCCTGTTCTGACAACACTCCTTGAGAATCATCTGTCTGCCATATGTAAAAGTTTATTTAGCCTGTGTGTGTGTGTGTGTGTGTGTGTAAATACATGTGCATATTTATGTAACACCCATATGTAAAAATGAGGTCCACAAAAAAACTAAAACTTTCTCATATATTTCGCTAATCGTATCATTTCATCTCTTTTTTTCTCCCAGAGCCTCTGAAGGGTAATCTAAAGGTGACTTCCAGTGAAGACGCAGAGCACCTGACCCGTAAACAGCAGGTTGTCTCCACTAACAGCCCTGGTTTCCGCTGCGAACCCAAATCTGCCCGGGCAGGGGCTCCACGCAGACACACTGTGGGCGGAGCGCGCAGCTCACGGGAGATCCTGGCCATGCAGCCCTCAGATATGGACAAAAAACGAGAGGCCTTTTTGGAACATCTGAAGCAGAAGTACCCACACCACGCCTCCGCCATCATGGGCCATCAAGAAAGACTACGAGAACAGGTGAAGACCACCGTCGATACTGTTTGTTGTGACACTGTCGGCTTCAGAAGCCCAGACTTTGTTCACTAATGTATCGGATTTAAAGATAAGGTAGATGTGTGGAAAATGGAAATAGGTGTATTTAACATCATAAACAATGTTGAATGACAGATGAATGACAGCCCTGGGCTAAATCTCATTTTCTAACATTTGTTTGCCATAATAGCCACTTATACAATACTCTTTACAGAAAATTGAAGGCTAATAAAACGCCAACTCAAAATGACATGCATTTATAATCAAATAAAAGTTTGAGTCACTTTATTATAGCTTGCTAGTACTGGGTTGGACGTGCTTTTGCCTTCAAAACTGCCTTAATTCTTTGTCGCATAGATTCAACAAGGTGCTGGAAACATTCCTCAGATATTTTGGTCTATAATGACATGATAGCATCACGCAGTTGCTACAGATTTGTTGGCTGCACATCCATGATGCGAATCTCCCTTTCCACCACATCCCAAAGGTGCTCTATTGGATTCAGATCTGGTGACTGTGAAGGCCATTTGAGTATAGTGAACTCACAAAAGATGATTTGAGCTTTGTGACATGGCGCATTATCCTGCTGGAAGTAGCCATCAGAAAGAGGGTACACTGTGGTCATAAAGAGATAGACATGGTCATCAATAATACTCAGGTAGGCTGTGGCATTTAAACAATCCTCAGTTGGTACTAAGGGGCCTAAAGTGTTCCGAGAAAATATGCCCCATACCATTACACCACCAGCAGGAGCCTTAACCATTATTACAAAGCAGGATGGATCCATGTTTTTATATTGTTACTTTACAACAAATTCTGACCCTACTATCTGAATGTCGGATCAGAAATGGAGACTCATCAGACCAGGTAATGGTTTTCCAATGCTCTATTGTCCAATTTTGGGGAGCCTGTGAATTGTAGCCTCAATTTCCTGTTTTTAGCTGACAGGAGTGACCGTTGTGTCTTCGTCTGCTGTGTAGACCATCTGCTTCAAGGTTTGACGTGTTGTGGGTTCAGAGATTGTAACGGTTATTTGAGTTACTGTTGCCTTCCTATCAGCTTGAACCTTTCCATTCTCCTCTGACCTCTGGCATCAACATGGCATTTTCACCTACAGAACTGCCGCTCACTGTATATTTTCTCTTTTCGGATCATTCTCTGTAAACCTAGAGATGGTTGTGTAGTAGTAGATCAGTCCCAGTAGATCAGCAGTTTCTGAAATACTGTCTGGGACCAACAACCATGCAATGTTCAAAGTCACTTAAATCACCTTTCTTCCCCATTCTGAAGCTCAGTTTGTATCTCAGCAAATCGTCATGACAACGTCTACATGGCTAAATGCATTGAGTTGCTGCTATGTGATTGGCTGATGAGATATTTGTGTTAACAAGTAGTTGAACAGGTGTACTTAATAAAGTGGCCGGTGCGTGTATATCTGTGAATATCAGATTTGATAGGGTCTGTTCTAACTGGAAAAAAAAATAATTCTTTGCAAGATATCTTTTTTGGTATCTGTGGTGATGTGTATTTGTTTTCACCGCCATTACTTTTTCCCGCTGATGGTCATAAATATGATGTATGAGTGGAAAAATCACATGACTGAAACCGATGAATAGTAAAATATACAAACTATGAAAACAGTGCAAAGTATCACATGCAAAACAAGTATGGCATGTTGCAATACCAGGAAAAGAAAGTAAAAATGATAATTCGCTGCATCCCCCAGGGGGCGCTATGAGGCTTTCCCCAAAGCGACCCCTAGGGGACACAGTGAGTTCCCTATTCTCAGGGAACCATGGTTACATGTGTAACCTGAGACATTTTATTACCTGCAGGTAGAATCTGAAAGAAACATCATAGTTATATATGTATCACTGAATGGTTGCAATGATTACATTGAACTTGGCAAAATCATAGTAGAAGCCACTTATCTCATTGTTGTAACAGTGTCTTGTGTGTATGTGTTTTCTATTGAACTACCAAGGGTCAGTAAGTGGTTGTCCACAGGTTTTCTTTGTTCTGGATCTTTAGGTCTGAGTTATCTGGTGGCTGTAAATAGTAAAGAAAATAAGTAAAAAGAAGAGACACTTTTTATCTTGTCTACTTTCTCAAAAAAAAAAAAAAGACCCCCAGGGTATAATAAACATATTGAATGATGTTAGCAGTTTCTGCAGTGAATGACGCATATACGCAATATGAAAGTATATATTCAGTGTATAAATATGGCGTTCAGGCATTGCTGTCCTTACGCTGCACATTCTTCAGTTATGACCCCAGGGATCACCTCTCAGCCAACTTATAATATTAAATCCATTCATTTTAATTTCATATTAAAACACTGGATACTGTGAAATAGTTTTCTTTCTCACCACAACCCCACAAACCAACCAAACTCCAGTCCCAGCATACTTAAAAAGGTTGTAAATAGATTGACCTCTCATTCTGAACAGGTGGAGGTTTGTTTTATATTCCCCCCCCCCTTTGGCAGAAAGAATCCATTTTCAGTGTTTTGTGTCCAGCCGTAGTTGCCTGAGGTGAGAGCTGAAGTCTGTGCCATATATCACACTGACTCATTTTAGCGGTCATGGTCATGCCCTAAAATTTTCATTTTCTGTTCAGTTTCACATTCAAGTCTGAATGTTTAAGAAAAGTGACAAAGAAAAGTTTAGCACTGACCAAATCATAAAGTCTATGTCTCTGGTTTAACATAACAAACGTTTCTTTTATAGCACAACCCGCGATAATCTGTACATAACATTTTTGGAAGTATCATTTTGTGATATAAAGATTGCTTTAAAACAAAATGCTTTCTGTAAAATGCTCTCTTTTCGCTCGTTTTGCCCATACTCATCCACTCAGTGGGTCTGTGGAATGTTATTTGGATTGCCCCAGGGGGTATTAAAGAGAAAAGGTGGGGGCAGGGGCCGAACGCCTTCCCACAGCGGGTGAGTGAGGGAGTGTTGCGTGTGTTTACTCTGATTGAAAACAAAAGGCTCCTCACCTGCTCTTAAAGACCTACACAGCAGAACAATGGAGGTGATTGACAGTTTCTCAAGAATGAGAGTGCTTGGCTGCAGAGTGTGAGTGTGTGTGTGAGAGAGAGAGTTTGTAATAGTGTGGGCGGATATGCACAGAGAAAGACAGGGAGAGAGAAAAAGAGAGAGAGGAATTTTGATTGGTTTAGTGCCCAGTCACCCATACACTTGACCAACCGAATCTTATTTGTATAGTCAATCATTTGCTTTTACAATATTTCACACAACAATATTATTATAAAATAATTGCATAAACAGAATAAAAGCATATTTTGTTTTAAAGGTGGGGATTGCATCTAAGTCTTTGAACTGTTCAATGCTGCATTAATCAGGTCATGAATGATGCATTGGCTGTGTGTCATATGAGCTGTTCTGAATGTTTCTGTGTCTTTATTTTTGTTTGGGCGTTCTGTAGGTGACACATTCGCTGACCATTGAACACTATCAGCAGGGATGTGCTGAATCGCACAACAACACAAGGAGTTTAGCATTTAGTTTAGTTGTGTAAGACTTCACCTGTCCTTCACCTCACACTAAATCAAAAGTAGGAGAGCCCGGGGAGTGTTGCATCACATGTTGTTTAAACATCTGTACTTCAGTGGGGTTTTTTTGTTGTTTTTTCAGTGGTTTTTGTTTCAAACTTTAATATAATAATAGTAGTAGAAAGCTGAAAGTATAAATTAATGTCAAATTCAAAGCTGAATGGGTTGTAACACTAGAAAACATGGTTTTAAATGTATTATGGTAATCAGATTTACTTGTTCAAAATAATTGTCCTATTTTTGTGATGATCCCAAAGGTATTTTGGGTGGAGAGTTATAGGGATTTGAAGTCACCATAGTAATGTGTGATGTAAGAACAGGCTTGGCTCAGTTTACAATTAGGTGAGCGCGCATAGAGCTGCTGGAGGAAAGCGCGGAGAGGAGGGGCGCGCGACTCACGCACACACACACTCTCTCTCTCTCTCTCTCTCTCTCTCTCTCTCTCTCTCGCAAACACTCGCTCTCGGGCACTACATTGCGGGAAATGAACTTACTCCGGGAATAGAGACTAAGGACATGGCATAGTTTTCAACCTTCCTCCAAATCATGGGAATATTGAGAATGAGTCGCCACTGAGGACGATTGTTTGAACTTGTCTGTATATTGTGGAATAAGGTATTGTAACAATTCCTCATACTTTTTTTTTTTAAACTTGCCGTCTATTTTTATAAACTCAATGCATTCGCCAGCAAGCACGCTGATGCTCGCGCGATCGTCTTCAATCTTGCGCGCAAACTTCTGAACGGGGCGCGTTCTGTAACTAGAGAAGGCTCGCGCATGTTTGCTTTTCTGTAAGTTGCTGTTGCAGTAAGTAACCCGATATGCGATTCTTTCTGGAGTGTGACACGGCTATAAAGATGCGGACGAGAAGGATAACAATGGTAGGGATCTGCTGCTCCCAACCAGGTGTGCTCAGGGGGCGTTTGGAGTGGTTCGTGTGAGGCTTGTAACTTCTTAGCCATCGTTTGGATGTTGTATTTCATTGACTGTTCCATTTTGCCCGTTTTTAGATTTAAACAGTGATAGACTTCTTGAGATGTGGCTGTGTGTTGTTTTTCCTGCTCTTGTCTGCGTGGGAAGATAGATATATGATGTGTTAAATCCTGGCTTTTGGGTTTGTTGTTGGCGTGTGCTGTTTACAGTAGTTTGTAGTTTACAGTAGTTTGTTGGGCAGATTCAATTGGCTGGGTCCCAGGTGCGAATAATGGGATGGGGACGGGGCTTCTGAACGCAGAACGTTCTTTTTTGGTTCCCAATGGGAAACTATGGTTAGGGGAACGTTCTGAAAAGCCAAACTTATAGATATGTGATGCAAACATCAAAATGTATTAAAGGTAGGGTAGGCAATTTCGGAGAGGCTAGAAATAGTAAGCTAGCTTTGAAAGTATAAGATCCCACCCTCCATTCA